GTTCGGTGGACGGTTCGCACGAGGTGGGACACCGGCACCCCCGCTATTCCTTGTTTGCCTACGAGTGTTCATATTGTACCTACATTTGCAAAATTCAATATATCATCTTCAATATCAATAATCCACAACAATTATCACAATATCTCCCCTTCAATATCACCAATAATCAATAGTCCAAGATTAGCACATATATCAATTTTTTTTCAACTCAAAACAAGTCCAAAAAGAGAGCAAATATCAACAATATTATCCCCAAACAAATCAACAAAGTTCCATCACACATCATCAACTCTCATACACATAACAAACTCACAAAAATAACATCAACTTTCTCCAATCCTCACAAATTCAAAAATATTATGAAGGTCAAGAACACAATCAAATAAGCTCGAAAACTAATTCACCACGTGATTAACATTACTCTCTTCCCCATACCAAACAATTATCATGAGAAATCATATGAAAAAGAGGGTAAATTCATCAAATTAACCGCGCACATGAGGTGTTCGATAGAAATCCTCAACTAGTTCTCAACCCTTACATCAAGGTTTTACTCATAATACACCACACATACCTCAAATCAACGTCCCAATCGCGAAACTACCAAGAAAAGGAAGAAATTTCATGCCTTTTCTTTGATGAACTCGTGCAAAATACGAAATAGGTAAACCCTAAGTTAGAACCGCAATTTTTCTTCGATCTCAAGAGCTAAATTGCTTCAAAAAAGAGATTAGATGGTGCTTGATGCATGAATTAGTGACGAATTTCGAGCAAAAATCAAGCAAGAAAAATCGGATAGATAAATTCGAGAGAGAGACGAGAGAGACGCAGAGAGAAACAACAAAGACACGAGAGATAAAAGAGACACGACCAAACGAGGGTTTTTTTTATCTTTTAAATTCGCCCAGGCGTCACACGAGCCGTGTGACACAATTAAAAATCAACAAAAAAACACCCAGGGTCACACGACCCGTGTCCATATGACACACGACCTGTGTAACGCAACACGGCTCGTGTCACTTCATCACATGAGTCGTGTGAAAAACCCGAGACAGAGCTTATTTTTACCCTAATGTCACACGAGCCGTGTCACAAGACCACACGACTCGTGTGGACCTGGGATTTTTTTTTCTTTTCTTTTTTCTTTTTTTTTTTAGAAAGAAAAACAAATTTAAAACGAAACTAAGCCTATTCTAAAAAAAAATAAAAAATTATACACTAAAAATTGGGTTGCCTCCCAATAAGCGCTTAATTTAACGTCTTTAGCTAGACGAATGCCTGGAGGACCTTTAGTCGTTCAAATAGACGATGAAGATCGTCTTGGCTTGCTCCGGGCTGAAATATGGTTTGATCCGTTGAGCATTCACCACGAATGTAGTGCCATCACTTACCGCCAATTCCACGGCTCCATTTGCCATCATCTTCGTGATTACGAACGGTCCATACCACCTCGACTTGAACTTACCAGGAAAGA